TGCCGATTGGGAAATTGCACATTTGGTAAGTTGCCGATTGGGAAATTGCACATTTGGAAAGTTGCCGATTGGGAAATTGTCTCTTTGGAAGTCGCCCTTAGGAAAAACCTAACACCATAAATATTATTATTATATAGTCTTTCAAATAAGTTTTACTTATATATCCTAGATCGGCATTGCATTTTCATATTAAATCTCTAATATTAAAAAAAATCATGGTTTTTGTTAATTTGTGTGATCAAGGGAATGGATCTTAAATATTGGTAACTTTGAAACTGGTTAAAATTCCCCCTCCCCCATATCTTAGTTTTAACTGCTGTATTACATTACACATTACAAATTATCTCCAATTATAACTAATTATGCGGTTAGCACTGCAGTATAAGATAGAATTAAAGATTATATTTTAGAATAGATCAAACTAATTCAGAATAGATAAAACTAATTTAGAATAAATCAAACTAATTTAGAATAGATCAAACTAATTCAGAATAGATCAAACTTATTCAGAAAAGATCAAACTAATTTAGAATAGATCAAACAAATTTAGAATAGATCAAACTTTTTAGAATTGATCAAACCAATTCCGAATAGATCAAACTTATTCAGAATAAATCAAACTAATTCAGAATAGATCAAAGTTATTCAGAATAGATCAAACTAATTCAGAAAAGATCAAACTTATTCAGATAAGATCAAACTAATTTAGAATAGATCAAACAAATTTAGAATAGATCAAACTTTTTAGAATTGATCAAACTAATTCCGAATAGATCAAACTTATTCAGAATAGATTAAACTAATTCAGAATAGATCAAACTTATTCAGATAAGATCAAACTAATTCAGAAAAGATCAAACTTATTCAGAATAGATCAAAAACTTATTCAGAATAGATCAAACTAATTCAGAATAGATCAAACTAATTTAGAATAGATCAAACCAATTTGGAATGAATAGAAAAAATATTGAATAGATAAAACAAATTTAGAATAGATCAAACAAATTCATTATGGATCAAACTAACTTAAAATAGATCAAACTAATTCAGAATAGATCACAAAAATTAGAATAGATCAAACAAATTTAGAATAGATCAATCAAATTTAAAATAGATCAAACAAATTTAGAAAAGATAAAAAATTTAGAATAGTTCAAACAAATTTAGAATAGTTCAAACAAATTTAGAATAGTTCAAACAAATTTAGAATAGATTTAACAAATTTAGTATGGATCAAAATAATTTAGAATTGATCTTACTAATTCAGAAAAAATCAAACAAATTTAGAATAGATTTAACAAATTTAGAATAGATAAAAAATTTAGAATGGATAATTCAAATTTAGACTGGATAAAACTAATTTAGAATAGTTTAGCGACGGCTAAATAAAAGACAAAAGTCTATAAACAACTAACTATATTTTTCATATATCAAAACAAAGAAACAATGATAACTAATATGGCGACTGTTTATGTATATCACATGAGTTTTGATCAGGTAACTACTTGCAGATATTATGGCGGAAAGTAGGACGACTTGTCCGCCACAGGACTCACCCCAGAAACCAAGGCGGAGAGATTGAAGGCGGAGGGGAGGTTTCTTAAATAACTCCTTGCTGTTCTGTGAGGATTTCTGCGAACAGGAACTGCAGACTGAACTTGAAAACGAACCTTCCTGACGACTCGAGGAAGAGCTGAGGCGGATGTATCTGTTTTTGGACTAACAAGGAAAAACGGACACTGAAGCTCCGGAGTCTATCAGGAATTTGCGTTTGCTCAAGGAGTCCTGTAGATAGATCAGGCTGGAGCTTCTTGAACTGCCGGCAGGAAGAGAAAAGGATTCCTCCCGCTGGCCAGCTAGTTTCCCGACCAGGAGCAGGGTTTAACGGCAGTTCAAAGCATTCTCACCGTGAGTCCGATGATACCAGCAAAGGGTTGAAGCAGGACGACGACCCGTTGTAGCTGAAGACGTGGTTGAAGATACACTAGAGCAACAACCTCTGTTTGCACTGCTTGGCCCCCTAACAGCGTCGACTATCTAAGGCTCCAAAGTTTCTTCAGAGGACAGAACATTAACTGAAGCGGAGGCAAGGCTGTGGTACAATTCATCTGCCTTCAAACTAAGAGCATTAGGGTCGGATATATCTTCCTGTAGGAGGTGTGCACGAACATCTGCAGGTAAACGGCGCAGGAACAAACCTCGAAAGATGAAGCCAGGCTTGAAATCCTCCGGGAGCAGGGCGAGCATCCTGTTCATCAGGTGAGACGGCTTCTGATCGCCAGAGAGTGGTAGAGAAATCAAACTCTTGAACCTCTGATAGTCATTGAGACCGTAGGTTTTAACTAACAGTGCTTTAAGGACCTCGTAGGGTTCAGAGGCTGGAGGGGTTAGAATGAGATCTAGCATCTGAGAGGCTACTTCCTGGGACATTGAAGCCACGCAGTGGTAGAACTTGGTGGTGCTGCTGCTGATCCCCTTGATGTTGAACTGGGCCTCAGCCTGGGCGAACCATACTTCCGCAGATTCAGGCCAAAAAGGGGGAAGCTTGAGGGCAACAGCTCCGACACTGGGCAATGCTTCACTTGATTGGGTGGCCATATTCGTTGACTATCACACCAAAAAGCTTATTCACCGTTTCTAATCTTACTTAAGGAGTGGACTGTGATGAAAACAGGGAGCATGGCTCACTTCAGAAAAGAGTGCGGCGAAAAAAAGAGTCTATTTATATGGACAAAATACGTAACGGAGTTAATCATGTCGGGGTCACCAGATTTAGCGACGGCTAAATAAAAGACAAAAGTCAATAAACAACTATATTTTTCATATATCAAAACAAAGAAACAATGATAACTAATATGGCGACTGTTTATGTATATCACATGAGTTTTGATCAGGTAACTACTTTGCAGACATTATGGCGGAAAGTAGGACGACTTGTCTGCCACAATAGATCAAACAAATTTAGAATAGATCAAACTAATTCAGAATAGATAAAACTAATTTAGAATAGATTAAACTAATTTAAAATCGATCAAACTAATTCAGAATAGATAAAACTAATTTAGAATAGATAAAACAAATTTAGACTGGATAAAACTAATTCAGAATAGATCAAACAAATTTATTGTATCTACCTAGATCAAAGCTTTTTAGCAAAGATAAAAAATGATTTTAATTGATTTATCCTTAGTAGAAAACCCTGTGCTATCGCTTGTGGTAAGCTTGAGGGGCAATAAATTGACCGCGGTCCATTTTTATTTTAAAATGAAGATTGATGAAAGAGCGGAGGATAAAGAACATACACAGTTATATATAGGAAATAGAAAGATGGGATTTGAATATTGTGTGAGATGAAATGACAAAAATCACCAGTTATTTCTAACCAAGAAATGTTGCGTAAACGAAAATTATATAACATTTTACATTTAAAACTAACTTTTTAGCTTATTTTTAATTAATCAAATCTTTTTTAAATATTTTTATTTCCTTTAATTGCATTGTAATGTCACTGTGCATTGCAGTGCTCGGCCCAACCTAACCCTGGATGTTTATTTATAAAGTCAGCTGTTGCGTCGGTGGCGCCACGCGGGCAGAATGGTCCACATAGCCAACTCTTTATATCAGTCTGCTAAAGAGAGGTAAATAAAATGTATTTTTGAATTTGCTTTTTAATATTTATAAAGAGAAGGGTAATTTACAGTAACCCTTTATTTACAGAGTGACATGTACCGATTCACAATAGTAGCAGCATGAAATCTTTATCTGAGAAAAAATGCTAGATATTGTACCGTTTATCTACCTATCTATCTAGAAATAGATGGGAGTTCATCTATCTCTTCCTTTTTTCTGAAATGTAAATCCGAGGGACACTATTTTAGAAAACCTGTAGTTTTTAATTTTCAAACAGAAAAATATGGATTTCTTCATAACCCTTGCTCAAAACAAAATGTCTAAATGTCAGTCCCTTTAACTAGCTCTTGTATGTATGCTATGTTCATTATTTATTCTATATCGGACATAGGTAAAGGAGAAATATTCTCTTTGGCTTTCATGCTTTACAACTCAAAAACAAGTTTTTCTTTTACAAAAACTATAACAGGGCTAGGGCCTTACATACAGGGTTGTTGACTTTAAAAGTCAATATGATAAAATAAAAGGAGATCTACATGGATATTTCTAACATTTATTTAATAAAACGGATGTTTTGAAATAGTTTCCCAAGTGGCATTAAAATTGGTTGGTTTAGAAATTAATAAAGAAACTATAGACGAATATCAATTGGAGGTGTTTGTAGAACTTCTCTACGGCATTTGAGTCGGAAAAATCGTCTTCCTTATATTTCGAATTAATTTTAACAAGGGTGTGCCACAAAACATGGTGATTTTATTTTAAAGTAGACATTGAGAGGCCGTCTTTTTCACAAGAACTTCCATCAATGAGAGTGCAGTACTGCAGTATAGTGGTCAATTGTCTTTGTATGTATCATGTGACCAGTATAATGCACTCTTATTGGTGGGAGTTCTTGTGACGTAATACGGAGTTATGAATAATATTAACAATTATATCTATTAAAAATAAAAATTAGAATTATAAAATAATAATTGAAGAAAACCTAAATTACAAATAGGTTTCTCTGGGATATCTTTATTTTCAGATTGGTTGCGTATTTGCTGAATATGATCTGTTTAAACCTTCTAATCAAAATTGTTTATACATATGAATTTTCATATAAATTTGACACAGTTTTATATCAATTTCTCGAGACAGGAACATCAGATATAACTTTCATGGGTTGCGATCAAGAGCTAAAGTGATTAGCTTTCAACCTTTACCCGCTTTCACTTTTCCTTTACAGTCTCTTTTAGTAGGTGCAGTTCGGATCCAGAAATATCAACCAGAACTAAACTATCTGACGAGGCTAGGATGGACAAGGATAATGAAGATGAACATGATGATGATGAAGATGATGATGATGATGATGATGATGATGGTGAAGATGATGATGATAATGAGGATTTAGATGAAGAGTTGCTATTTGACTCATCAAGGAATATTGCATTTTAATACATATATAAATTTGGCTTGTCTGTCTGTCTGTCTGTCTGTCTGTTCGTATTCAATAAACGTCAGAACGGCTGAACCGATCGGGCCCAAATTTTTTGTGGGACATCTAGGGACCCCAGGAAAGGTTTATGAATGATTGAAATTTTAAATATTTGTCTCCATCAAAATTCGATCGTCATTAAATTTTTGAAAATTTTGAAAATCCGCGAAATTTTTTGTGAAAATCCGCGAATTATTTTTGTTTTGTTTTACGATGTACACAAAGAGAACATGTTCACAATTAATTTAGAAGATGGGCGCGAAGCGCCCTCTAAGGCTAGAAAGAAGGGCGCGAAGCGCCTTGAATTTCTAGTACATATATATTGAGTCATAACCGTATAAAACATAAATCACAGGACACATAATAATGAAAACAGAAAAGAGCACTTAATCTTTGAAAAGAATTAAAGTCAATATATAAAATTTTGTTTGTATGGTTTGTTTGCAGTATTAGTTTTGTGATCATCGTAAATTTTCTAATGTTAAAAAATTTACGTAAAATAGTTTTTTTTAGGGGGGGGGATAGGTAGTAAAATTAAAATAGCAATATTAATTAGTAGTGAGGAGGAAAGTCTTACCATGTATCCGGAAAATGAAACCAAATCTTGTATTTTGTAAAACGGAATGGAGTCTTTGCCACAAACTCAAAGTTTTAAATCCTTATATCTTTGCAACTTAGACTATTTAATCTAGCAGAATTTATTGTTTAGAGAGCAGTTCATAAAATCTTATCAACAAAGAGAGAATCAAGCTTAAATCGTTCCAAAAGTTATTAGCAGTTAATTATAAGAAAGAAAAAATATATTTGCGCACATTTATAATTTCTCTGGTTTGTGTAAATCAAAGATCTAGGTCCATTTTAAAATTATAATTAAAAATAAATACATGATAAATACTACAAAAACAATTATAAGCATAGATTTCAGGCGACTTTTTATTGAACGAGTGAAAGAGTGTCACATTTGATTTAAAACATCAGTTCCCCGTTTTACTCTTAAATATGGTTTCAGTAGCTTTAATTTAAATGAAGAAAAAGTTGTACAGTTGTACTGTTTACATATTAAATGGTTGTAGAAGTAAGAAAATCGTCGTCGAATATATCAATATAATAAAGACGACTTTCAATTTAAATTCTTCAATTTGATCTCTACCAAACTGTCAAACAGCATGGATACAAATAAACATGGAAAAAAGGAGAAACTATAATTAAAAACTTCTCCTTGTTTTCTTGTAAATTTACCGTGCACAGAAGAACATTCCAGAATCACAGCCTTCAACATAATCAAGGCTGAGCCAGAATGCCGAATTTATATAGATCAAAATTCAAGTGACAAACGTCGTTTTAACAAATAAATTAAATGATATTTTTTTTTATTTTATCAAAAGTTAAATATATTCTTGAAATCTAAAACCGTTTTCCGGTCCTAAGGATAATACTACGTTTGTCACTCCAAGTTTTTTATTTAGGCTAAATTCTGTATCCTTGATCTGTCGGAGATGTTAATCTAGCAGGGTATATTTCAATTAAATGTTCACAAATACAGTACATGACAAAATAAAATATCCTGGACAATCCGTTTTAAGTTCTTCTTTTTTTGACGCTAATAAATAGATTTTAAAAGATTTCTAAGTGAACTAAAATCATAATTTAATTCAAAAGGAAAACTTAAAAATCCTCGTTTCTTAAACGAACTTTAACCGTAATTTCAAGATGATCCTTCAAACAAAGATGGCAACCGTACCCTTGATCGAACCCAGGTAACAGTTTTGCGCAAAACCTGCTGAAATCTTTCCCAGGAAACCGCGGAAATTCCCAGGAATCTTTCACAGAAAAATCCAGTAAAAATGTTGACAAAAATGGGAGATTTTCTCGAGAATTTGTATGACCAAGTATGAGATACATTGTATGTGATATGTGTGCATGTTTTGATCCTTTAACCATATTTAACCTGACGTCTGGTCAAAGAGAATAGAATATATATTAGAGGAGAATTTACTAGAAAAAGTGTAAAACGGCCATTTTGTTGTATTGTTTCCATACTGCAGGTGTACTTCACATATTTATTCTATATAACCTTTTGGGGGCCCTGGAATATCATTTTATAGAAAATCTAAAAATAATGTTAAAAGAAAACCAAATTATGAAATAGGCTGGTTTCATAATTGACCGATGATAATTTCACATAGAATCTATGCCTTTCACTTTACAAACGATGATTTTCCGTTATAACTATAAATAAAATGATGGTTTTATTCACCTAATTCATTATAAAGTTTATTTAACAGCTTTAAAAATTTAGAAATTGAAATGAATAGTCTAGGGAACATATTGTATTAATGTACTCTACTGCACATAATTTGGGAACATTTACATGATTTGTACACTTTGAACTCCCTTTCAGGCTGAAAAGGAACTGACAAATTCATACCGAGATATTCTTTAAATTCCTCTCTAATATATATTCTATTCTCTATGCGTCTGGTTTACTGGCTGT